CTCAAATCCGAAAGCAAGAGTCCCTCGACCACGAAGCCCTGCACCTGCCCAGACCATGAGGCCCTGCACCTGGGGAATGAAGGGTTTAGGGCCTGTAGGGCTGAGGGGAATGAGTTGAACTTCGCTTCCACAGATTTCGATTCAAGGCTCGGGAATCACCAGTCTCATCATCAAAGTCCTGGACGATTCTCACGCCGTCCTCACGCGTATTCCCCGAAGAACCCTTATTGATTATCATCCCAGAAGCATGATGGCGAAGGGAGGGGGGGGGATTGGGCTGCCTTGATTTCCGAATCTGTAGCCGGGGTCGCTCGGCGGCTTGTCACCTTCTGCTTCCCTGAGTTCGCTTCGCGACATGTCGGGGCATGGAGCAACCTTGCATGCCACGCAGCATTTGCGGAAGCAAGCCGAGAGGCAGCAAATCCATATTGTCAAGCTGTTCTCGGCATGATTACCATACTGCTGAGATTGACATGAGTGCGACGGTTGGAAGCATGATCGCCGCGACTCCAGCCCACCCTCACTTGAGACCCAGCCCATGTCATCCAGGAAGCAGCGCTTCTCTCTGTGCACATTGCAAGCGCCCATGGCATGACAGCCATGCGGCGGGCATGCCACGAGCCCTTGTTGCGGTCCTGCTTTTGGCTCCGCTGGCTTGATTAGAAACGGGTGCCGGGTTTGCGGAGTCACATGCTTGTTACGGCCTTGGCTCCAATCCCCGGCCCCGAGTTTGCATGAAGCTGAAGCTGAGAGCCCGAGCATCTGCCCGTGGCATCTCTTCCAGGTTAGTGGTGGCGCACAAAGGCTGAAGGACATTGCAGCTGCTGAAATCCTGCGTGCTGCATAGCTCGTCACAGCACCACTACTCAGAGTCAGGCTATTTCTTTCAATGGCAGGAGTATAACCTTTGGGTATGTCTGGCGCCGAGTCGCTGCTCTCGATTGCAGAAGCTATCTCCTTCGTGAGGGAGCTCCCGACACAACATAAAGCCATCTTAGTACCACAGAGGGTCAGAACAAGGCATTGAGACTGTTTCACTGCCGAAGTGCTCCAGCACCATCTTGTCCCTTGCAGGTCCGCACTGCGAAAGAGGGGTGAAGGCGCACTGTTCTTCGGGAGATAGCCATTGGTGCTTATGGGGAAAGGGAAGATGAAGATGAATATGATTACATGACACTGATGGCTGTGAAGACAGTGACGGTAGTGGTGACGAGCATGATAATGATGGGAATGCTGACAATGACGTTTTGTTTTTGTGCGAATGACGGTGTCGATGTTGTTGTTGATGACGATGATGATGGTGGTGGTTTTCTTGGAGCAAAGCGAGACTGTATCATCCCGCTTGCTTTTCACATAATATCTCTGTGCATGTATGTACGCATTTGAATACGTATGCACGCATGTATGTATGTACGTATGTACGTATGTACGTATGTATGTAAGTATGCATGTATGTAGGCATGTATGTATGTATGTATGTATGTATGTATGTATGTAAGTATGTATAAATGTAATGTAATGCAATGTAATTTGATTATGTATGTATGTATGTATGTATGTATGAATGTAATGTAATGCAATGTAATGTAATTATGCATGTATGTATGTATG